CCCCCCCCCCCCCCGTGAGTCCCTCTGGGCACGGTGCCTAAGTCACAGGGTTGGAGCTTGGGCTAGAGCCAAGGTCTGGCTGCAGACGAGCGTGCGTCTGCCAAAGTGCGACCCAGGACATGGCGCTCTGACCTCACTGCTCCTTCCTCCAGACCACTTCTCACTTCTGCAGGTACAAAGCTAGTCCGGTGAGGCGGGCTGGAATCCACCTTGACAGAGCGGAAGGCTTCTGTCCCGGAACTAAAGAACCAGAAGTGTGCTTCCGGATGTAGGGAAAAAAAATCCGCAAGGAGCCGGAAGTTGCTCGTCGTATCCCTGCACCGGCCTGGCATTTCGGAGTGAGGCCGCAGCGAACTGCCCTTTCCCAAGATGGCGTCGAAGATCGGTTCCAGACGCTGGCTGCTGCAGCTGCTCATGCAGCTAGGCTCGGTGCTGCTCACGCGCTGTCCGTTCTGGGGCTGTTTCAGCCAGCTCATGCTGTACGCCGAGAGGGCCGAGGCGCGCCGGTGAGAGCCCGCGCAGAAAAGCAAGATCACTAGTTACAGAAGCTTGAACAATCAAAAAAGAAAACCCCCAAAGACTCCTTATACCATCCTTCCCTCCAATTTCAGGTGCTCTCCTGCCCCTCCCGGCTCAGGCGCGCTCTCGCCCTCAGGAAGCCCGACATCCCCGTGCCCTACCTGTACTTCGACATGGGCGCCGCCGTGCTGTGCGCCAGCTTCATGTCCTTCGGCGTCAAGCGGCGCTGGTTCGCGCTGGGCGCCGCACTGCAGCAGGTCCTGAGCACCTACGCCGCCTATGTGGGCGGCCATGTCCACTACGGGGACTGGCTGAAGGTGAGCGGGACCCCAGTGCAGGCCGGCAGCGCCAGGCTGCGCCGCGCATGCAACGTGAGGTCTGGAGGTGGGAGCACACCGCCCCGGGGCACGCCGCAGGGATGTGGGGGACAGAACCTCCACCACCTGGCTTCCAGGACCCTTTAACCACGAGAAATCCCAGGCCTGGCGCTGTGGGACCCCGCAGTGGACCTGGTCCACCCGCCTGGTTGTGTGAAGTTGTGTAATGAATCTGAGTGTAGTTCAGGCCGGAGCCCGCCAGACCCAGGGGTGAGGGTCTGTGGGCAAAGCCATGCCCCTCGGGCAGGACCAAGTCCCTTAGGGGAGACCGATGTGCTTACAGGGATGGCACCAAGGGTTCAGAGGTTCAAATGGAACAGATGAGAGTGCCCTGGGCTCAGTCTCCAGACCTGTGGTGGGGAAGATGGCCCTGTGTGGGTCCCCGGGTTCTTTCACTTTCTGTAGGACCATGGACAGTTTTCTTAACCCGTTTGCCTCAGTTTTCACTTCTGTAAAAAAGAATTATGTATCTCTGCTGTACCTGCCGTCTGCATTTGGAAATTGTACGAAGGTTCATGACGCGGGATGGAGAGACCCAGGAGAAATGTGGTGGCTGTGTCTCCTGACCTGGGTCCTTTGGCCTAGGACCCAGGAGAAATGTGGTGGCTGTGGCTCCTGACCTGGGTCCTTTGCCCTAGGACCCAGGAGAAATGTGGTGGCTGTGGCTCCTGACCTGGGTCCTTTGCCCTGGCCCTAGGTCCGTATGTACTCACGCACAGTAGCCATCATTGGTGGCTTCCTGGTGCTGGCCAGTGGTGCAGGGGAGCTGTACCGCCGCAAACCCCGCAGTCGTTGTCTGCAGTCCACCGGCCAAGTCTTCCTGGGCATCTACCTCATCTGTGTGGTAGGTTGGGGTTCTGCTGGCTGAACTGCCTGGTGGGTGGTGAACTAGGGGCCCAGACCTGGCAGAGCACAGGCAGACAGGCAGCCCAAGGCCTGACCCAGTTATAGGTGTCCTGACTCCCGAGGACCGCCCTGGGTCTGGGGCCCTCTGGAGACCTGACAGAGTCCCCACATTCGAGAATGTGCCCACACTCTTGCCACCAGGTAAAGAAGTGGTTCCAATCCTGAAGGCCAGGAGAACAAGGCGGGTGGTTCTCGTGGAGTCCAGCTTCCTGAGGACCGGGAGAGGGGACACCGGTGTGCTGGGGTACATGCCCCAGCTCAGCCTGACACCTAGAGCTGCCGGGGCCTCTCTGACGCTGGCAGCCAGGAGGATGAGGATGGGCAGGCCTTGGGCACCTGGCCTCGGCTCAGTTCCCAGGCACCGGCGGGGCTGTGAGACAAACTTCCTTCCCTGAGATGCCCTGTGGAGAGGAAGGGAGGGAGAGAGTGTGGAGGCCCAGCTTTGAGGGAGCCCCCTTGTGAGGAGGGCTGTGGAGCTGAGTCTCAGGATGGCTGTCCCCAGGCGTTCTCGCTGCAGCACAGCAAGGAGGACCGGCTGGCGTATCTGAACCTTCTTCCTGGAGGCGAGCTCATGGTGCAGCTGTTCTTTCTTCTGTACGGCATCCTGGCCCTGGCCTTCCTGTCCGGCTACTACGTGGCCCTGGCTGCCCAGATCCTGGCGGTGCTGCTGCCCCCTGTCATGCTGCTCATAGATGGCAATGTCACCTACTGGCACCACACAAGGCGGGTGGAGTTCTGGAACCAGATGAAGCTCCTTGGCGAGAATGTGGGCATCTTCGGGGCCGCTGTCATCCTGGCCACTGATGGCTGAGTCTTCCTGCCTCGCTGGTTCTGCTGCTGTTGGCCTCACTTCTTTGTCTGTTTGGTCCTTTGTGGGTTTTTTCTATTTTCTTTTTTTTGCCTTTCTTTCCTTTCGTAGTATGAGACAGGTCTCGGCCCCAGGTTCATGGGTCAGCCCTTTTGGGGTGGGAGCCCTGACACTGATGCCCCCTGGGCTTCTTCCTGTTTGTGGAAACTGAGGCCGGCAGGGCTGGGGTGCAGGTCCTGAGATGGGGACGAGGGAAGGGAGACCGATCCGATTGTGGTCTATATCTGCAGCAGCCCCGAAAGCCTCATTTGGAAGGAGATGGGTTATGGGGCGTACTGCCAACTTCCTGTTGGACGTAGGATCAGGTGGGAAGGGGAGGCGGTCCAGAAGGTTCATCTCCCTTCTGAGCTCCTCTTCATCTCGTCTCCTCCGCTGTCATGAGGTGAGCAGCTTTTCCTCCACCAGACCCCTCGGCCAGGCCATCCTGCTTTGGAACCAGCCGACTGTGGACTGACATGGAGCCAAAATCAACCTCACTTAAGTTGTGGGTATCTGTTATTTTTGTCCCAGCAACAAGGAAAGACAAGTTTTGATACCAGGAATGGGGTCCTTTCTGCAATGCTACCTGACATCGTGGTTCAGAAGCCTTTGGAATTGGTTCACTGGAGGAGTCTGGAAAGGTTTGGAAATGCCGGCTGGAGAAGCCCTAAAATCCTGTAAGCTGAGCTTGATGGGAAGCTCTAGTTGGAGCCAGTTGAAAACCAGAAAGCTAGCCGGGAGTGGTGGAGCACACCTGTCCTCCCAGCACTCGGGAGGCTGAGACAGGAGGATCACTGTCTATTCGTTCAGGGCCAGGTGAACTACACAGTGAGCCCCTGAAAAAATAAGCATTTTTTCAGAATGTTGAAAATAAGGCAGACCGTAAAGACCAGACTCAATTAGATCCTGTTCAGTCAGGGGCAGGGAGTCACTGACATGGACTCCAGGCCATGTTTATTTCTCAGGCAGAAAGGTTGTGTACATTTTGTTCCTGTTCTGAGACTGTAGCAGACTAATCTGGCAGAGGAAAACAAGGCAACCCAGCATTTCAGCAGCACTGGGTACTGTCGGTGCCTTTTAGCTAGATCTGTATTAAGAATCAAGGGAATCAGTGGTGCCGCCACCTGCCTCACAAGCACAAGGTCCAGAGTTGGCTCTCCTGTACAAAAAAAAAAAAAAAAAAAAAAAAGTGGCACAGCTAAGTAAGTTTTTAAAAGTTTTGATTTTTTCCAGAAAAGTACTTGGAAAGTTGGAGCAGAAGAGAGCCTCTTGCTGAAAAGATGGGTGTTAAAAAGAAGCCAAGTATCTTGCATCAGGACAGTGGGAAAATGGCTTGCTGGCATGTCAGGAATCAGCAAAATCCACCTCTGTCTGCAGGCTCAGGGATGCAAAGCTGTAGACTCAGAAGAGTGCCCCACAGCACCATGCTTGAGAAGACCCACATAAGGAATTGACTCCTGGGGATTCAGTTCACCATGGTCAGCCATCCAGGTACTCAAGAGGCCTCTGCAGCTACCATTGAAGGGGGCCTGGCTACTGCTCAAGCAAGAAGCAAGCCTCAGCACTATCTACATGGTGCTGGTTTTGCAGAATACAAAAGTAGGGTCAGGAAGGTTTCCACGCAGAATTTGGAAGGCCTGGGAGGACAGGCATGTGTCCCTGTGAGCAGCTCAGGACGTGAGTGTGAAGTCAGAAGTGCAGCGGAGACCACAGGATGCTGGGAAAGCCAGGAACCTGGATCATCTGAGGAAAGCTGCAAGGAGTGAGCACAGCTGGCTCGAGAGACGGTTACCACCATCACTGGGAGTGCCCTCAGGTGGGGCCGCCCGAGGCCTTTGGAGTCCACATCTGGCCACAGCGTGCTTCTGGTGCTGGGCACTGAGCTATGGGACTTAATGTTTCCCTGCTGGGTTTGTCTTTGGTCCCTTTGGTTCTGTCCCCTCTGGAGTGGGAACGTTTACCAGGTGCTTTGTATGTGGGCAGCATAGAACTTGCTTTGCCTTTTCTAGGGGTTCACAGCTGAGAGTTTGCCTTGAGCCTCACAGGAGACTTTGAACTTGGACTTTTAAGCAATACTGGAACTTCCGGGACTTTGGCAACTCTTAGAGATGACTGAATGCATTTTGCATAATGAGATGCACATAGTCTTGTGGGAGGTAGGGTGGAACATTAGTGGCTTGTATCTGGATGTTTCCCAGGCCAGGTGGGTTGGAAGGCTGACAGCTGATGTGCTGTGAGGAGGAGGGGTCTTGTCAGAAGAGGGGGGTCACAGGGACATCCACCTCCCTCCCTGGCTCCTCCACCAGGCCCCTGCCACGTCCTGCCTCGGAGCTGGCTATGGCTGAAATGTGACCAAGACAGACTACTTTAACCTTTCCCAGCAAGGAGGAAGTGACTAAGACCCTGAAGTGAGTAAATGTGAAAAATTCCTATTTGTGCAAGTTTTTTTGTTGTTTTAATGTGGTATTGAATATGGGTACTCCAGCACTGAGCCACATCTCCAGCCCTTTCTGCTTTTTAAGGGTCTTGCTGAGCTAAATTGTGCTCACACTTGTAATCCTCCTGCCTCAGCCTGCTTGTGTCAACACTTAGATCAAGGTCCTAGGCACCGAGGGGCAGGTACCACGGAAGCCACAGGCTTCTCAGGCAGGGCGGGGCAGCCGCCCTGGTCTTGGTGGCTGGTGTCTCTTCTGCTGCCACCTACAGGGCCTCCTGAACACCAGAGCATGCATTCCTCTGAAATACACTTCAGGGACCTTTGGGCTGGATCATCCGCCCCACAGGCACTGTGCCATTTGTTCAGTTATTGTTGGAAATTTTTTTGGTTTTGGTTTTGAGACTGGGTCTCACCATGTATTCCAGGCTGACCTCGATTCCTAGCAATTCTCCTGCCTCAGCCTCAGGGTGCTGGGATGACAGGCATGAGCTGTCACACCCGGTTTCATGTTGGGTTTTTTGGAAGCCTCCACTGTGGGCCACTGGTCGTCCCCTCCGAGTCCCCACAGCCCTTTGGCTCTTTTTAGAAAATCTCTGAACCTGAGCTGGGTCCCAGGACTGCAGAGGCTCAGGGTTTGGTCCCAGCCGGCAAAGCCCACCCCAGCCCTCCAAGTCCTCACGATAGTCTCTGTATCGGTTTCACCCTCAGTCCTTGCTCTCTCACCGCAGCTCTTGGAATCTAGTGAGAGGACAGGTGTGCCTGGAACTGGGGTTTCATATGCAAGACTCCAAAAGGTGGTGCCACGCTCACACCAGGGCAGTCCAGCCACATCTGTGTCCCCAGGCTGGAGGGAGAGCATACTGCTCTCTGCCTCAGCCCTGTCGCTGTCCCTACTGTGCCACAGTGGCCCCTTAGCTGCCTGTATCCCTGCTTGTCCTAGTAGGCACACGGCACCTGGCCCCTCATGTTGAACGAGCCAGGTTGTGCTGGTGTACTGTTGTAACAGCTACTTGGGAGGCTGAGGCAGAAGGATGGCAAATTCAAGACCAGCCAGAGCAATTTAATGAGACTGTATCAAAATAAAAAGTCTTGGCTTTTCCTGTTTTCAATTCCCAGTACCAGGTCCCCATAAGTTACCTTTTTTTTTTTTTTTTTTTTTTTTTTGGTACGGGGGATTGAACTTGGGTCCTTGCACTGGTGAGGCAGACAATGGAACCACTGAGCTAAATCCCCGGCCCAAGTCCCAATAAGTTAACTGGGGCCTCTGGACTCCTCCCCACAGCACACTAGTCCTTTAGGGAAGACACAGGCTCCAGCTGGCTTGGGGAGGACATCCAAGTTGGGTTTTAAGCCAGTCACTTGTTCCTGGCTTTGCTGGGCTCTTGCTAATAAAAGAGGAGCCTGTGGTGGCCTGGCTCTGAGCCTACTTGGGGGTGGGGGCTGGGATGTACAAGGCAGGTGGACACCTGGGGAGGAAGTGGCCACTGTCCCTGGGCCTGCATCTCTTCAGCCCTCCACGCCCTTCAGGTCTCTGAGGGCCACTGTGACCTCTGTTCACACGGGTGCTGTCAGACAGGGATTGTGCTTTAATCGGAGCTCCTGTAAAACCACCAGACCCCAGGCATGGGGATGTGGGCGCAGGCAGCAGGGAGGAGGTGCTCAGGGCAGTGGCCAGGCCCAGCGCAAGGCCCCTGAGGCCAGCCAGGCAAGGGTGGAGGCCTGGCTTCTGTTTGTGGTCTTGGCCTCCGTTGGCCCCTGGCTGGTCCCACTTGCAGCCCTCTTGGCGGGGCTCCGCCAGCAAGCTCCAAGGGACACGTGTGGTTTCTGGTCCACCCTGGCCTCGGTCCCGAGGCCCATGGGGCCTGGTGAGGGTCAGCTCCCTGGGTCTGAGTCTGGCTTGCAGAAGGAGTCTGGCAGCCCCTTGGCATGGTTGACCAGCTCATAGGAGTCCCGGATGTCGGCCAGGCCGAACCAGAAGAAGATCCACTGCTTGTTGGAGAAGCTGCCATCGCTGTGCCTGAAGTACCTGGGGGAGGGGCGGCTCAGAGTAAGGTGGGACTCAGGCACCAGAGACCAGAGTCACCCTCATCAAAGTGCCCAGGAGGCATGTGCTGTTTTGAACCCTGGGCCTTTGCAATAAGCTGCACCCTCAGCCCTTTTTTGTTTTTGTGTTTTTGAGATAGTCTTGCTATGCAGTTCAGGCTGGCCTCAAACCCAGGGTGATTCTCCTGCCTCAGCCTGCTAAGTGCTGGGATTTCAGGTGTGTGCCACCACATATTTTTAATTTTGAAAAAGGGTCTCCCTAAGTCACTCAATTGCTCAGGCTGTTTGAACATGCAAACCTCCTTCCTCAGCCTCCCAGAGCAGCGGGGAGTACAGATGCAGACCACTATGCCTGGCTTCCTTGGTCACTTCCTAAGAGTACACAGGGCAGTGGTGATGAGGGTTTAGTTGCTGAAAGAAAGGAAGGGGGTTGTCCACAGGGAGGTACGGTGGGCCTGGGGGCAGGAGCTTGGCAACTGAGCCTGAAAAGAGGCAGAGAGAAGCCAGGCACAGTGGCGCAGGCCTTCCATCCCATCCCTCGGGAGTCTGAGGCAGGAGGATGCCCGCGAGTTAGAGACCAGCCTAGGCCAGGAAGGGAGACCTTCTCTCAAAAAACCAAAAAGCGGGCCGGGGATTTAGCTCAGCGGTTCGGTGGCAGGCCTTGCAAGCGCAAGAACCCGAGTTCAATCCCCGGTACCCCAAAAAACCAAAAACAAAACAACAAAAAAGCATTTAAAAATCAAAAAGGAGCCAGAGAGTCAGCGTTTCTCCGGATCCCGGGACGGGGGACTGCCACACTGGCCGTCGCTGACCACTGGAAGATCCCCGGGCGCGCCTAGTGACCGAGAGGAAGCCCCGCCTCCAGCCTACCAGGGGTTGATGGGGTTGGTGACCCGCGAGCGCCAGAACAGTGTCTGCAGGTCCCGTCGCAGGCACTCCCACAGCATCTCGCCGGAGCCCTGGCCCTGGCGGCTGGCGCTCACCACGAACTTGTCCAGGTAGGGCGTGCCGCCCAGCACCGGCTCCACCGTCAGGATGGCGGCCGCGTTGTACCTGGGGACACGGGGCGGGGCCCGTCAGGCT